AGGCAAGATTACGTGCCTCATCTTATCCTCAATTATTTCCTCTAAACAGATTAAATTTATACTGATTAGAGGTAATTAGTTTAGCTCACGTAAGTTAATCTACTACTTACAGTCCAATATCAATTTCTGAATAATTCAATAATGTTTTATATTCTTACTCGCGTAATATTTCAAACTGTTTCAAGTCTTAAAATTAATTTTAGACTGAACAAATTCTAAATTTTAATTTTCTGTATTCTATCCCGAGAATGACGTTTCTGACAGTGTCAACTCCCCAGCTCATATTGTACCCATCTACTATAGGTATTTATCTTGCGACTTTAACCTAACTGTCTGGCAATTAAGGATTTTTTTTCTTCTTTTAAAATGTCAGTGCATTTTTTTATACGCTGCTAACATCGTGCTGTGCTTGGAGATTCTTGAAATTAAGATTCTCAAACTATACTTGTACTGAAAATTATTCTGCCTTAAAATACGACGAGAATTTATCGATCGAATTTACTTGATCGAAACATGAACTTAACATGAAATTTACTATAGAATTTAGGAATACATATATTAATTCCATAAATCCTCCATTCACAATATAACATAATATTTTCTAAGAAAATCCTTGGCTTAAAAATACATGAATTGTATTATTTAAGGTCTGGAATTTTCTCAGTCATTACAAGTGCAGTCCGGAGGAGCCCGAACAACTGAGAATGGCATATATCGCGAGGAAGAGGGTTCTCTGAGAAGTCATCGGAGGACTCTGTTTCAACTTTATCTCTCTATCTCTCAAGTCATGACTCAAGTCATATTCCTATAATGTTTTCTCTCATATAAATTCAAATTCAACTTTTTCGCTACAATATTTTTCTCTCGCATACACAACTCAAGTCATGATTTGAGTTGTGCAAATGAACACACCCTCAAGTCATATCTGCTACGTAGCTCATGATATTAAGCATTACCAATTTGCTAACCTGGACAATCCAAAGTACATTTAACAGCAAAAGAAGGAAAAAAAAAAAAAAACCTGAAATAAGGTCCAGTATCAAACATAATAGTAACTTGAAGTCTTAAATATATCATACAAAATAAGAAATACAGTAGAAATTATGTTCAATACAGTGTAGTAGACTAGTAGTGAACATCAACAACATTACAGGAACACAGTCCTGCTTAATAAGATTACAGCAACATCGAACATAACTCATTCTCAGCAATCCAAACATCAATCAAAAATTATTCTGAACAGCCTAACATCAGACAAAAATAAGTCTGAGCGATCAACATCAAACAGAAAACATAAAGGTCCAACATAGCATAATAATCCCAACATCAAAACACAAAATAGAATACCCAAAACAGCTTAGTAAAGCAACATCATAATATAATCAAATCAAAATAGCTCATCGAAAACAGCAACAGCAAACCAACCCCTGTATTATATACCTGATGAAAGAAAGAAACACAAGTTAGTATAAATACTAAGCGACAACACTGAATCAGAAAATAGTTAGTAATGGTTAATTACAGTTTTCATTTTCAGAATAAAAAAACACTTTATATTTTGAACAAGTTGCAATATTTGTATTCATTTTCAAAAAAAAAAAAAAGCTATACTTCTTTTTTATATTTTTAGGACATACAGATTTCATTTTCCAACAAAAAACACTATCTTTTGGACATTCAGATTTCAATAAGTCGATAACACAAACAAAACAAAGAGTAACAGAAATACACAATAATCAAAATGTTCCAATGCACAGCACAACAGCACAATAAAAAAAACAAAAAAAACAAAAACGAAAACAAAATGTTCCAACGCACAACACAATAATAAAAATGTCAAAACATTCTAATCCTCATGCAGTCAGCAACACAGCAATACAGTAATCAAAAATAGGATAGGGATGTATAGAACTAATTGAAAACAAAAAAACCGAATATTGTAATTGAATCTTACCTGATAACCTAGATGAATACCAAACTTCAAGCATGTTCAAGAAGGACGTGATAAAGCTTCAAAAGTTTCCAAAGAAACATTACAAAACCAAAAAAAAAAAAAAAGCAAAAAAAAAAAAACAAAAGAAACAATTGGAATAATAAAGAAGGAGAAGATGTGAAGAGAGGTTTGACCTTTTGAAGCAATGTGGCTTTCGAGGCACAGCAGTGGAGAGGTACGACTGTGCGAGATGGAGAGGGCCAGCACTGAAGAAATGAGATTCGAGAAGCCGGCGGCAGTGGAGACTTGAGAGGGAGAAGGAACTGGGCGGAGTGGGAACTAAGATTGAGAGGCTAGGACTTTTAGAAGAAAGGGAGAGGTCAGAGATGGAGGGTTTTCAGAAGAGAGGAAAATGAGAGGCTATTTTAGAAATTAACTTTTATTTTTTTGTATTATTTTAGTCTCTAAACTTTAGACGCTTTTAATTTTGGTCCCTAATTTATATAAATTCAATCAAATCTTTAACACCTAGATAAAAAAAGGATTGAAATTAAATTGAAGTAAAATCTCAAAGACCAATTGTGGGACAAGTTAAGAACCAAAGTGAGATTTAATATAAACTTTAAGGACCATTTGTAGAATTAACCCTTTATACATACTACTTGTTTTTAGTTTGGGTCAGGTTAGGTTTAACGGGTTGGGAATCGGCCAACCCATTAACTCAGGCCTGGGCCTTGATAAGCGAAAACTAAAGAAAAAAAAAAAAAGCAAAGTGGTGGGTTGTGTCTTTTTGGTTAGGTTACGGAAACTTACATCGGTTTGTCAGGTTGAATGGTTTTCTGCATAGCCCTAATGACGCACTGAAACAGATAATTAATTCTTTGGTGGCACTGAAAAAATAAGCTACCAAAAGGCTCTATTTTGAACCGTTAGATACGTATCAAATATTATTTTTTTGTATACATTTTAAATCTGATCAAATTTTAAAAAAATCCAATAATTAAAAACTGACCGTACTGGTATCTATTAAAAAACCGTAACAAAAAAAAAAGAGACTTAAAAAGACAATAGGGTTTTTCACAGTTTCTTTCCTCTCCCTCAATCTTTTCCTCCTCTAGCCGCTGCACTTTTGAACAAAACACCAGGCCACGGCTCGCCGTCCTCCTCACCGGCTCCGCCCTGTAGTTCCGTCATCACGACCAGCTGCCGTAGGCTTTCAATCTCCTTATCGCTTTGCCAGTCTTCTCATCGACCCACAGCTGTTGCAGTTCCCTCCTCAGGAGTGTGCGGAGGAGATTTCCTGCGAGATCTCCTCCACGCATCGACCTGTGATGATTATTTTCACATACAAAAAATCCCGTTTCTACTTTTTCTTTTTTGTTTTGTTTTTTTCCTATTTCCTATGTTACAAACACAAACGCACATAATGTCAGTACGGCTAATTTTTGAATTTTTTCAGCTAAATTTGCACAATAAAACCTATCTAGGTGTGTAAATTTCGATGGGCGAACCAATGTCGGACCGACTCAGTGCACTCCTGCCAACGGTACTCTTTCTTTTTTATATTTATTTTTTTTCTTATTTTGTTTTCTTTTTTTTAGCTGCATCATTGCCAATGTTCCTTCACGCTTTCAGAAACAAATTCCGAGATCCATGTAAGTGATGTGAGGCCCATTTGGGTGGGGCCCACCCACCCCCTGTTGGCTGTTGTTTGGATGATGATTTTGGAGTCTTCTTGTTTTATTTTTGTTTTTTGTTTTGTTTTTTTCCTATTTCCTATGTTACAAACACAAACACACATAATGTCAGATCCGTACTCCTCAGGTCGGGGTGCATTAATGGAGTGATCTAAAGTTTGGCGGGAAAATGACATTGTACTTCTGGTTATGTGGTTTTGTTTTTGTTTTTTTCCAGGCAGGCCAGGGATTTTTTTTTTTTTTTCGCTACCATTAATAGTTTTATTTCTATTTTGTAAATATTAATGAGAACAAAATTATTTTGAGAAAAAAAAACAATTTATCTATTTATATGCAAGAAATTTGTTATGTAAATCAGCATAGAGAAGAAAGTACTGCTTCTAGTTCAGAAGTTTCATCTAATGAGAACCAACTGCGGATAGGCGAAAAATTAGTGATTTTTTTAACAAAAGAAATTGGTAAAAGCAGCATGGGGACCGTTGTCTATGAGGGATCTTATGAAGGTACACCAATTGCTGTGAAACGGATTCTCAAGAGTCATCATGAAATGGCTGATCAAGAAATCAAGAATTTTGAAGCATCTGCTCATCACCAAAATGTTGTCAAATATTATGGGGTGGAGCAAGACAGAGACTTTATTTATCTTGTTCTGGAGCTATGTGATTGCAATTTGAGTGACCTTATCGAAATGCCTTCTGCGGCTTCTTTAAATCAATACGAGTATGTATCAAAAGATGATCATTGCAATACAATTTCTATAACTTCAAGTGAAGAACATTCAGAGCTACCGAAGAATATTTTGGAAGATGCTGAGCTTTGGGATGATAATAAACGCGCTACACCATTATTACTAAAATTGATATGGTTAGTTAAATTTCCTTTAAACATAACTAGAAAAGCTTAAATTGTGGTATGCATATCTTAGCTCAATCATGCCTGCTCAATTATTGGACTTCTAATGAATCATCTTTTAGGTCCCTTGTCTTTGGGATTAAATTGCCAGTTGATCACATCATTCTATATCTGATCTAACAGGGACATAGTTCTTGCAATTGAGCACCTGCATAATTTGCGCATAGTTCACCGAGACATAAAGCCCGAAAACGTATTGATACAAAAGCAAAGCTCATCTTTTCATGCAAAGCTTTCCGATATGAACATCAGCAGACGCCTTCTTGATAATACGTCTGCGTTGAGTAACCATTTTTCACGTAAGTACTGTCATTTCCCATACATTCGTCAAACTGATTGCTCAAACTAAATTTCTCATTCAGGCTAACTATTCTAACCAATTCTCGAGTAACGCTACGCCAAAAGAACTAGCTTGAAAATCAAGGGTTGAATACAATATATAGTTAATGTAATGTCACACCCCCCAAACAGGGTCGGGTGACGTGGAGCTCATTTAGGGTTAAAAGCGAGGTAATAAAGGAAATTCTCAACGAGCCCCACACTTGATTAAATAAATAAATAACATTACAAGGCTAAAACCTGAGCCTCTGACAACACACAGGGCTCCACCCATAGGACATACAGTATTTTACATACATGGACATGCAAACAACATTACAGACATCAACCATAGTCTAGAAATCCAAATATCAGAGTTTATAGAAGTTACACTTCCTTACATATATGTCAGGAGAATGCCTGTCACGCCCCCCAAACAGGGTCGGGGGACGTGGAGCTCGTTTAGGGTTAAACGCGAGGTAATAAAGGAAATTCTCAACGAGCCTCACACTTCATTAAATAAATAAATAACATTACAAGGCTAAAACCTGAGCCTCTGACAACACACAGGGCTCCACCCATAGGACATACAGTATTGTACATACTTGAAAATGTAAATAACATTACAGACATCAACCACAGTCTAGAAATCCAAATATCAGAGTTTACAGAAGTTACACTTCCTTACATATATATCAGGAGGATGAACACAATCCTCTCTTAATCCAATAGTAGCGCAACTCAGCTACTCCGCACGGCTTCTAGAATTACCTAGGAGGGGTTTAATATTTATAAAACAAATAAAATGTGAGCGAAAGGCCCAGTAGGTTATAATTTGAAATAGACTTTATAAATAAATAAATAAATAAATAAATAAGTGAGTGAATAAATAAGTGGATAAGTAAATAAAATAAGCCATTCAGTTCCAACACAATAGCCGGACCCTCACATCCTTTTTCTCAAAGGAAATATAACTGAAAATCTCCTTATTAGAGGCATCAGCAAGTAGTTTATACAAATTACTTACACAACCATGTGCACAAGCCATGGGTCCCATGAAACTACATTAAGCCATGGGTACCATGAACTACATCAAGCCATGGATTTTAAATATTTTTCTTTCGCAAACAAGCCCCTTTCTTGAAAACATTTACAAGGCCAAAATTCATTCTTGAAAATCAGGCTCACATGGAAAACAGGAAGAAATCCTACTTGTCAATATCAAACATGTGACTAGCGTGCTCTATTCTGGCTTTTACTTCCTCAAAGCCTTTCAATCCGAGTCCTCAGCTAGCACTGATACGAAACGATACTTTAGGATCCAATTTTCATTCCTAAAGCAATTCAATCTCAATTATGCACCAAGATTTCCTATTAGTGTGCCCTAATCGAATTTCATGTTTCAATTCATCATTCCAAGGGTTTTCAATCTCAAAACATGGATTAAAGATGCTAATCCAACTATCTCAAGTCCCCAAATGAAGCTAAGTTGGGTTCTCCTAAAAAACAGAGGTCAAACAGCATTTTCAGGCCAAACAGGGTCAAACCCCGTGTGCACCGGTCGACCGGTGATAGAGCAGTACAACACCACCGGTCGAATGGTGGTGTGCAAGCTGGTCAACTGGACAAGTTGACCGGTCAGGCTAATGCAGTCCGGTCGACCGCAAAGGTTGACCGGTTGCCATGCGATCCGGTCGACCGGTGGAATCAGCTGGGCGAGAGAAACTCACTAAAACTAGTATGAAAACCTACAAATCCAGTCCCAAATCGAAATATCTCAAAGGAAAACCACTAGATCCGGGTTCTAAGTACTAAATAAAGTCCAAAGAACACAAGATCTCTAATTTCTACCACGGTTTTACTCAAAATCCATCAAAATCCATTTTGAACCAAAATAGGTTTTGAAATCCACAAATCCGAGATTCAAGAGAGGGTTTTTCAGAAATCTTACCTCAAATCCTCCTCTTGACGTTGAAAACTTCTTTAAATCTTACTTTGGTTCAAGATCCGGTTGATTTGAGACAAAAATGGAAGAGAGAGACAACTGAGAGAGAGAGAGAGAGTGAGAGAACAAGAGTGAGAGTGAGAGAGAAAAAGAGTATGCACGGAAAGGAATGGAAAAGGAGAAAGAGAAAAGTAAAAAGAAAAGAAAAGAAAGGGAAAAAGAAAAAGAGAAAGCATGTGTACAATATTTTAAAATGACAGTCCAGAAATGTGCCTATACACAGTTCTGGGTATAAATGTAAATACTGAGAATATTTAAATACATTGAAATTATTTAAATTCTCACATCAAAAACATTTATTAATTAATAACTAATTAATTGTCCCAGATCAGGCACACTAATAAATCTCAATCACCTTAATTAATCTCATTCAATTCTTTGGGGTGTTACAACTCCACCCCCCTTAAGAAATTTTATCCTCGAAATTGAGGTTTACCTCAAAGCATAAACAGATATGGATACCGCTCCTGCATCGTCGTTTCAAGCTCCAATGTCACTTCCTCAACCCCATGGTGCTGCCATAACACTTTCACTAATGGGATCTCATGATGATGCAGACTCTTTATCTTCTGGTCAAGAATCTGAACCGGTGCCTCCTCGTATGTCACGTCATACTGTATCAAAACGTCATACCATTGTACCATAACTTTCAGATCAGGTTGACATTTTTGAAGCATGGAAACATGGAACACGTCATTCATGTGAGATAACTCAGGCGGTAAAGCCAGACGATACGCCACAACTCTGATTCGTTGCACAATCGAGAATGGTCCAACATACCTTAGTGCAAGTTTCCCTTTTACCCCAAAATGAAAAACTCCTTTGCGTGGGGAAACCTTCAACAAGACAAAGTCGCCTTCCTGGAATTCTAAAGGTCTACGCATTCTGTCTGCATAACTCTTATGATGACTTTGAGTTGTTAACAATCATTCCCAAATCACAGCTATCTTCTCATTATTCTCTTGAATGACTTCTGGTCCAGTACTCATTTAATCCTCTAGTTCCAACCAACAAACAGGTGACCTACAAGGACGACCATAGAGAGCTTCAAACGATGCCATACCAGTACTGTCCTCATAGCTGTTATTGTACGCAAACTCAGCAAGGTGTAGGTAATTCTCCCAGTTTCCACCAAAATCTAGAATACAAGCACGAAGCATAGCCTCCAGAATCTAAATAACTCTTTTAGATTGCCCATTCATCTGAGGGCGAAATATTGTGCAAAAATTCAATTTTATCCCCATGGCTTCCTGGAAACTTTTCCAATACATTGCATTAAAACGTGTGTCACGATCAGACGTGATAGACAATGGCACTCCGTGAAGTCTCACGATGTGCTCCAAGTACAATTTTGCCAGAATCTTCTGAGAATACGTCGCACAAAATGGTATGAAGTGTGCAGACTTCGTCCACCTATCCACCACCACCCAGAAGGCATCATGCTTCTGCTCAGTTCTCGGTAATCCCATCAGAAAATTCATGGTAATGTGTTCCCATTTCCATCCAGGACCATGAAGAGGTTGTAACTCTCCCACAGGTTTTTGATGTTCTGCTTTAATTCAGAGGCAGGTTACACATTCCGAGACGTACTCACGAACATCCTTCTTCATGCCTCTCCACCAGTATTGCCTGTTGAGGTCCTGATAAATCTTGGTACTCTCAGGATGAATAGCAAACCTCGATCTGTGAGCCTCATACAGAATCGTCTTCTTAATCTCATCCACCTTATGAACAGTAAGGCGGTTAGGGAAATACAATGCTCCATCCTCTCGAATTCTCTAATCCTCGAGTTACTCTCCATTCTGGATTCGAATCTAGATTTCTTAGAGATGAGAATCCTGCGATTGATTCTACTTAACTTGTTGCACAATATCCGGTGTAGAGACCAGATTATACACCATAGCCTGGTTATAATCCTCGTAGTACTGAAGATCATAATAACTCACAACTTCAGTTCTTTTCCAATCTTCCAAGGCTAATGATGCCAAAGTTCTTGTAGTCTTCCTACTAAGGGCATCAGCTACCACATTAGCTTTTCTAGGATGATACTGTAGCGTGAAATCATAATCCTCCATGTATTCCATCCATCTCCTTGGCCTGAGGTTCAGATCTTTCTGAGTAAACAAGTACTTCAGACTTTTATGATCAGAAAAGACCTGAAACTTTTCTCCAGAGAGATAACACCTCCATATCTTCAGAGTAAATATCACCACTGCTAACTCCAAGTCATGAGTGGGGTAATTTTGTTCATGTGGCTTCAGTTGCCGGGATGCGTAAGCTACAACGCGTCCCCCTTGCATCAAGACACACCCTAGCCCACTCCCTGAGGCATCAGAATACACCTCATATGGCCCTTCACTATCAGGAATAGTCAGGATTGGTGCACTTGTCAATCTCGTCTTCAGTTCTTGGAAAGTATCTTCACATTCAACATCCCATTCAAATCTGACTTCTTTCTTGGTCAACCGAGTCATCGGTGCAGCAAGGCTCGAGAAATCCTTTACAAAACGCTGACAGTATCCTGCAAGTATGAGGAAACTTCATATCTCCGCCACATTCTTCGGTCTTTTCCACCGTAGCAGAGTCTCGATCTTGGAAGGATCTACAGAAATTCTTTGTCCTGATATCACATTCCTCAAAGCCTTTCAATCTGAGTCCTCAGCTAGCACTAATACAAAATAATACTTTAGGATCCAATTTTCATTTCTAAAGCAATTCATTCTTAATTATGCACCAAGATTTCCTATTAGTGTGCCCTAATCAAATTTCATGTTTCAATTCATCATTCCAAGGGTTTTCAATCTCAAAACAAGGATTAAATATGCTAATCCATCTATCTCAAGTCCCCAAATGAAGCTAATTTGGGTTCTCTTCAGAAATAGAGGTTAAAACAACATTTTCAGGCCAAACAGGGTCAAATCCTGTGTGCACCGGGCGACCGGTGATAGAGCAGTGCAACACCACCAGTCGACCGATGGTGTGCAATCTGGTCAACCAGACAGGTCAACCGGTCAGGCGAATGTAATCCGGTCGACTGCAAAGGTCGATCGGTTGCCATGCGATCTAGTTGACCGGACAAGTCGACCGGTGGAATTAGCAGAGCGAGAGGAACTCGCCAAAATCAGTCCCAAATTGAAAATATCTCAAAGGAAAACCACTAGATCCGGGTTCTAAGTATTAAATCTAGTCCAAAGAACCCAAGATCTCCAACTTCTACAATGGTTTTACTCAAAATCCATCAAAATCCGTTTTGAACCAAAAAAGGTTTTGAAATCCACAAATCTGAGATTCAAGAGAGCGTTTTTCGGAAATCTTTCCTCAAATCCTTATCTTGATGTTGAAAACTTCTTTAAATCTTTCTTTGGTTCAAGACCTAGTTAATTTGAGACAAAAATGGAAGAGAGCGATAATCGAGAGAGAGAGAGAGAGAGAGAGAGAGAGAGAGTGAGTGAGAGTGAGAGACAAAAAGAGTATGCACGGAAAGGTAAGGAAAAGGAGAAAGAGAAAAGGAAAAAGAAAAGAAAAGAAAAGGAAAAAGAAAAATAGAAAGCATGTGTACAATATTTTAAAATGACAGTTCAGAAATGTGCCCATGCACACTTCAGGGTAAAAGTATAAATACTGAGAATATTTAAATACTTTAGAATTATTTAAATTCTCACAGCAGAAACATTTATTAATTAATAACCACTTAATTAATCTAGATAAGGTACACTAATAAATCTCAATCACCTTAATTAATCTCATTTAATTTTTCGGGGTGTTATATGTAATAAGCAATATACATGCATCAAAATCTACTCTAATACTAGATTGAGTTGTAAACATGTCAGAACGGCATTGTCATTAATTAATCATGTCAATTTCAAATAATATTGGGTTGAGCATGTGAACACAGTTGAACATAACTTGTCTAGAAATCACATTAAACACAGTGGATCTCTAATTTGAACTTGAATTATCACGTCTCTACCCTAAAACTGCGTGTTTGCCATTTCCAACCCAAGCAGGCATTTTGTAGTCTAAATCCATTTTAACTGCTTCTACTACAAATTGATATTTGAGGACATTTTTCCTTAACCTGATTTTAACTGCTTCTAAATCCTTTCAATGTTAGTCTCATGCATGTTTTTCAAATCGACTATAGGTTGCGGCACTACAGGCTGGAAAGCGAGAGAATGGCTTCTTTTTGAACGCCAAACACCTGCAATGGATTTGTTTTCCTTAGGTTGCCTCATCTTTTATTGCATCACTCGCGGTATACATCCATTTGGGGACCATGATGAACGCAATAAGAATATTAAGGAAGAGAATGTGAAGAACATGTTTTTGGTACAAGATTTCCCAGAAGCTTCTCATCTCATTTCTCTTTTATTACAACCAGTATATTGGTTAAGGTGAGTGATGCAAATCACGTTGATTAGGATAAATTCTCATCGATTATTCCTTATTTTGATTTCTTGATTTTGCATTTAATATCATATATTTAGTTTCCCTTTTTCGAGTGCATAAACAATAGTAGATTACGATTGATTATTAAGTATAATGTTAGAATTATTCTCCCACTTGATTTCATTTTTCTTGTTACTTTCTCAATCTCTTCCTGGTTCTCTCCCAGTCTAAATAATTCCTCTTCTTTCTCTTCTTTCTTCTCCTTTCCAACTCTAATTCTACATCAGTGAGGTTATAAATAGTTTCCTTCAACATAGATTCTACATGATAACTTTTGGAACTAATTGTTGAAAAAAAATGCTTGGAAACCCTTTCTAAGGTACCATTTTAGAAACCCTTTCTCCTGCTTGAGGAGATCAAAAGGGTGAACGGGTAAACGAGAATTGACTCTTAGAGTCATGAAGTTGGAAAACGAAAAGAAAACTTCCATGAAGTTGAGAAAAGCTCTTTGTCTCACATGAAAATGATATAAAAGTATTGTCTCTTCTAAGCCCTATAAAACAGACCACCCCCAACTTCTCATTTGAAATACACTATATTTTTTGGGCGGGGATAGCATAGTTCTCCGTCTTTGCTACTAGTAAGTTATACGGTCTGGAGCCAAATCTACTTTATGAAAAATGTGTGACACACTAGCCTCGGTAGTTTTTAGTTCAAAGATTTTAAATTTTTTATGCAGTTTATATGTATATTTTCATCATCGTTATTATATATTGTTGGAATTGTTAAATTTTAATTGTATTCGAAATTTTTGTTTTGGTTTTTTTTTTTATATTAATATAATTTTCTTATTTCCAGTTATCTATTCATATCTCTATTTTATATTTTATCTAACACTAATTAAGGCTTACTAATCTATCAACGACTCATTTTATACGTTTTATTTAAATTATGCTCATTGTGACGAGTCCTTGTCGTTGTACTAGGTAGTGGATTAGAGAACATTGAAGCAAATTTTAAGTTTTACTTGAGAATAAATAAACTTCTCAACACCTAGCTTGAATCCGCGAATCTTGATGAAAATTACACATGTTATTCCTGGCAGGCCAGAAGCAAGTGAGGTGTTGCACCATCCTCTGTTCTGGGTTGCAAAGAAAAGACTTTTTTTCATTAGCGACTTTATTGATAGAGTAAGCGAAGACTCTATTCTTTCTGCAGAGCTCGAATCTGCTGCAAGCACAATTTTAGGTACTGAAAGGATAATAATGGTAAATGTGGTTCCAAACTCGAACAAAGAGGTGGATACAGAGATAATCACGCACATTTCCCTCTCTGCAAAAAGGGATTACAAGTTTAACAGCATTCGTGATTTGCTGCAACTGATTCAATACATATTGAAGCATTATGAACAGCTCCCAAGAGATATTCAGGTGATTGTAACACAAATTTATGTGAATCATGAGATATATCTTCATACACATTTAAGTTTTGCAATGTATATATTTAATTTGGTGGTGGCTCTTTCAGATTCTAGTCGGACCGCTATATGAAGGACTCGATGACTATTTTACAAGAAAATTTCCCACGCTCCTGATGACAATGTACGTTGTTGTATGCACTCATTGTAAAGAAGGGTTGTTCAGTGAATATTTTGAGAGGAATCTGAAGCTAGCTAGCTGAGGGGTCTCAATGCAAGTTTATGCATTGATATAACCTTGTTTTTCTTTTTAAACCAAGAGCTGCATATAATAGAAACAAGCATAGAATTTTTGTTTAGCCAAGCTTGCAACTATCACAACTACTTGTAATTCTCATTGTGTATGTAAGTGTCGAATGAATTGACCCGTTCTAGTTTTGCTCCATAATTAGTTTATCAGTTGTACAAGATGTATTGTTAAATCTGTTGTATATTATACATTCATAGATAAAAGATGCAATGTACCTTGTGCGTAGGTTTCAACTCTTTTCTAAATCACCCCTTTTCTAAAAATGGTTTCGTCCCAGTTTTTCTTGGGTACTACCTTTCTTAAAATTTGAAATCTTTGGTATGATCTCTATCCTCGCTCTTTCCATCTCTTTCATTTCTTTTTAGGGTTCTATCCACCGCCGGTTTTTGACCCGCTCCACCACAGACTCAACATACATTTTCTTTTTCAATTCTATTTCAAAATTAATAAAGTTGTAGTGTCTTTAGCCTGAAATTCTAGATTAGCGTTTGATTTCAAAACTGTAGTTATCACTATTGAAAAAATAAAATTGAGAAAAAAAGACGATGTAATTTTATTGCACTGTATTAAGAAATATATAGGGTGCGTTTAGAATTGATTTCAAAATATTTTTTTTTTTAATAAAAATTAAAAAAGAGATTGTTTTGAGAATCATTCTGGGACGGATTTTAAAATTGTGTTTGGTTGATTTTTTAAGAGATTGTTTTTAGTATAATAAAAAAGTGAAATAATATTTATTAATTAAAATATTATAATATTATTGATATGTACTAAAAAATGAAAATAGAAAAGTGAAAATAACTTTTAATTGTTTTTTAAAATCTGTCACTTTTCTTCTCTTTCGTTTGGCTTCAGCCCCCGGCTGCCATTAGGCTATCTTAAACGTGATATGAATATATATATATATATATATATATATATGTTACACCATGGTCAAGGAATCGACCATCCCCTCGAACGATAAGCGCCGAGGACTCCTTGTTGAGAATTGGTTACTGACATCGAGCGAACCACTGTAGCTAAGGTGCCCTCTGGACGTCGAGAGCCCATGAAGGATAACGGGCGTCGAGCATTTCGCTTGACTTGTGGTGGCCACGATGTCGAGGCAGGAATCCAGTCAAATCCAACGATAGTCCTATCAACTCAGGGAAGGATACATTGCACCAACTGCTACTGTCGAAGTCAAGAAATCAGGTAGATGGTGAGAGAGGTTTGCCTGATTTCCTGAGATAACAATCATGAAATGACACCTGCACAATCCCTAAATTGCTGTTCTTGTGCAGAAATTGAAACAGGCTATCTGTCACGACCCCAAAGATGGGACCATAATTTTGATGTTTTTATTTGTATTTGTTTACATTTTTTTGAGTGAAATCTAGCGCCTTACAATTTATTATTTCTTCAACAGGAATTTTGGATGATTCATTTGACCTTTGTATGGCTCGCCAGCAGTCGTTCGTCTCCTTGCTTAACTTGATGAGTGCTCACAGGGAGGAACTTGAATATGCTGTCCTCTCTAACTTAATTATTGTAATGCCTTGCTCTGAGTCCTATCAAGTTATTATTTGAAGTAAATCTCAGTTTTTACTTATTATTTTGGTCTGCATGTTTTGCATATAAGTCACAAACTAGTAAGGATTGCAGCTGATGTTGTACCTGAGCTGTTAGATCTCATTAAACTATTTTTTATCGGCCTTTTCCAAAATGCTGCAGAGTAAGTTCTTAATACTTGACATACTTTCAGAACCTAAATGAGTATGTACCTAAGCTATTAGATCTCATTAAACTACTACTTTCTCTGTTCTATTAATTATGCATATCTTGGGACTTGTGCAGGTAGATGTCTGTGTCATGTTTCCTCTAATTCACTACAAAACATATATGGATGTGGCTATGTAGTTGTGAGTGGTGTAACTAGTCCTTGCTTCATTTACAGGTTAAATGGTGGAAGTTTTAACGGAGTTTGATTATTGTTTTGATAGTGGATTACTTTCTTACAGGTTAAACAGTGGAGATAACTTTTTTGTTGAAGCATTTTGTCAAGATGGAAGGATTTATTTCACCATTTCATTTAGCTAGATGTTTTGAATACTTTGATATCGCAAGCTATTCTTTTGTTTTCTTTACTTGTACTTTTGAATGTTAAGGTTTTGGACAAATTGTATGACTCATGTTGTAGACATAATCTTATTGCCAACTTGGTAGATACTGATAACAATTGATACGTTAAATGTTTTTATGTTTTAATTTGAATGTTCCTATTTAGATATAGGATGTCGCTCGAAGTTACCATTTATTTGAATGAATTCAAAAGGATATCAATAATAATTTTAAAAAGCTACAAGAGTATAAGCATAACAAGGAAAAATAGTTATTAATCTGTATCTTAGCCATGCTAAATAGCTGTAAGAGGTTGAAAATAACTTGTCTTAAACGCTATAATACCTCAATTCTATAGCGCTTTCCATAACTCTCCTAAAATGCTATGTTTTCTTAGGACTTTTAATAGCGCCCGATGTCCTAGCGCTCTAAAAAACGCTATTGCTACTGATTAATAGCGTTTTTAGTTAGCTACTGATATTGATATTTGTTGTAGTGTACCTTGCAACAGCTTTTTTTTGGTCCTTTTTTGCCACGGGGAACCAGTGCTCTGTGGAGCCGGTTATATATGGAGCCTAATAGTAAGGTTCACTTACTAAACACTTGAACTAAACTAGTGAAATAAATAGAGGCAATGTTTTTTAGTGTGTAAACTAGATATTGTTTATTATCAGTAACTTTTGTTTTTCAAGTCTTTTGTACTTCATTTTTTTTCAAGTTTAAACATTAATTTTCTTAATTTTATTATATATGTCATTATAAATAATTAGATGTCATTGTGATTTTTTATTTTATTCTTAATAAGATTATTCTCACCTGGTGCCTGGAAATTTTAAGATCATTCTCAGTTTGCCTTTTAAATGTTAAAAGCTCTCACTTTGCCTTATGAACTTTGAATTATTCTCACTTAACCCCTTTTATTGTAATTTTTATTAAAATCTGATGAAAAAGAGGGGATTTTACTAAAAATTGTAATAGAAGGATTTAAGTGAAAATAATTTAAAGGTCAGGGAATAAAATAAGAGTTTTTAAAATCCATAAAATAAATTAAAAATGACTCTAAAATTTAAAAGACATTAGTAATAATAATTTTTCTTATTAATTAAATGATAATTATTTATTTTTAAGTAGAGTTGTATAAATAATATTTTTTATCAAGTGATATTTTTAGTTTTTTCACAAAAAGAAAAACAGTTGATATGCATGCGAAACAAATAAACTTCTCATCACATATAGTGGGTCCATTATGGGTGGGACCACCCACTCCCATTGGCTGTTTAGGGGATGATTTTTGTGTCTTTTCATTTCGTATTTTCCTCTGTTATACAATCACAAATTTGTCAGATTTGTGATCTTCCGGTCGGGTGCTGATATTCTTGTGGTAATACTGAGACTTTGTTCACTTCGCGGATTCGAGTTTTCAATTAGAGTTGAGATGTGATATTTTTTCAGAGTTTTTTATTGTAACAGAAAATATTAAATGTGATATTTTCTGAGAGCTTTTTACTGTAAAAACTTAAAATTGAAAATTCAAATTGATAAAATGAACAAACTTGATTTGTCTCCATCAAAAGAGTATATACCGGTTAGGAGGAATCTTCGCACATTATTAAGGGGTATTCTTTTATATTTTTTAGTTAAAGTGACTTTAGTGATATTTTGAGTTATAATTTAAGTTAAAGTTGTTACTTGAATTTGTATTTGGATGTGTACATTTGAGTTATGATTTGAATTGAAAATCTTTTTGAATTTGTCTTTGAGTGGGTCAAAACTTAAATTTGTATTTAGATAGTATTTTAATAAAAACTCAATGGTGATGAAAAATTTTAATAGGGTATATGGGTGGGGTTTTATTCGTCTTTTCGTTACAAATGCATAGAAAAAAAAATCATTTCAGTCAGAATTAAAACGAAAAAGTTATTATATTTTTAAAAATAAAAAAAATATTATTCATCAACTTGAATTCGAGTTTATGAACTCAAGTTAAAAGATAAATTTAAACTCGAGTTTAACTCTAAATTCAAATTTAAACTTAAATTTAATTTAAATTTTACAAAAGAATAACTTAAATAAAATTGTAATTTAAATTCAATTTTTTTTTTAATTTTATTATAAAAGAACAACTTTGAAGTAGTTACTTTTCCTTATACAACTGTCATCAACCAAAAAACTAACCATCTACAACTCTCCACAAGGTCACTCCTCTCTTTCTCTCTCTCTCTATTTTTTTTTTTTTTCCCCTTCTTCTTCTCCTCGTCCTTCTTTGTCCTCTGTTAACCTAGCTTTTCTTCTAGTTCTGTTGAGCAAATCCTTAAATATGGTCATTTTCAGTTCAAAACCCAATTAGTCCTTTCCAACATTGGGAGACAAATTAAGAAGTTAATCAACTTATTAAGTTCATATTATTGATTTCAGCCTGCTCAATCAACTAATTAAAATTAACACAAACGTAACTACAATGAAAACTAGTAACCTCTTTTTTCAGGTGAGTGATCATTAAATTTTCAAGCACAAGCTTATGACAAATTCAAATCAACGACTTTTTTTATTTATTTTTTAATTACCAGTTCTTGTGATTTACTAAATGGTGGCGCGGCAACGACACAGGAGTTCTCTGCTCCTCCGAGTGAAGCTCTTCACCATCCATAATGGTTTGCGTCATTGTTGCAGTTACAGGTGGAAAGCGAGTCGCAGCCAGCAGAAAAGAAGGTTGAAATCTGAAGGAGAGAGGGTGACTAGACTCGGTCGGTTGGTGGTGGGGGGTTCTCTGGGTTTTTTCCATTATGGGGAGATGAGAAAGAGAGTTTGAATTCTTTCTTTCTTTCTTTCTTTCTTTCTTTCTTTTTTTAAGCATCTTTTATTTCTTTTCAGACAGAATTTCTTGATAAGCATCTTAAGTCTGATTGCTTTATGTTACTTTCAAAAAGTTTACAGTATATTGTTAAAATAATAAAAAAAAATAAATTAGGAAAGTTCCTTCTCCTAACCTAATACGAGTTTTCTCTGGCAATACGACCAAATTGTTCAGACTACGCCGCTAAGCCCCAACCCCCTATTCAGCCAAAAAAAAAAAAAAAAAAAAAAAAAAACCCCCAACCCCAAAAAAAAAAAAAAAAAAAAAAGCGCCCAACCCATTACAACGAAGGTCATCAGTCCGGCGAGTTCCGGTTCGGCTTAATCTCACATCTAATTCTCATTGCTCATGGTATGAGCTTTGTTGGCGTGATGGGCGTGACAACGCCGAGGCAAGGCTGAAAGCACGATAAAATCTTTCTCTAATCTCCTCTTATATCGACCTAATACCTATATAATAAGGAGAAGTTTGATTGAGAGGAGTGAGTTTGTAATCCTTTTTAAAAGATAGTGAATTTATCTTCTCTTCATAATAGATGTAGTTCTTGAATTAAAGATGAAGCACTATAAATTTTTATGTGTTTAATCTCTCTTAATCGTATTTTAAATTATTAAAATCGTATAAATTAATTTCAAATCTATTATATTTTGTTGATAAATTTTCACCGTCAATAACTAGTAACCTCTTTTTTTAGATGGGTGATTATTAAATTTTTTAAGCAGTTCTTGGGATTTACTAAATGGTGGCGGCAACCACACAGGAATTCTCTGCTCCTCCGAGTGAAGCTCTTCACCACCCGTAATGGTTTGCGTCATTGGTGACTATACTCGATCGGAAAGCTCGATACCTGCGGTGCCAAAAAAGACGGTTGGTGGGTGGTGGGGGGTTCTCTGGGTTTTTTCCATTGAAGGGGAGAAAAGAGAGAGAGTCTTCTATTTAGTTCGCTGATTCGAATTTTTAATTTTAGTTGAGATGTGACTTTATGTAAGAGCTTTTTACTGTAGCAAAAAAGTTAGATATGATTGTTTGTGAGAGCTTTTCACAGTAACAAAACTCAAATTCTAAAGTCGAATCAGCGAAATGAACGGGGTCTTATATTATTTCTCTTTTTTTTTATAAGCAGTTTTTTTAAACAATTTGTTGATAAGCATCTGAATTCTGATTGGTTTATCTTACTTTAGAAAGTTTGCACTAAATAATTTTCCATTTGCAATTAAATATTCATAAAGGAAAATGCTTACCACCACGATTTTTAAAAACACGAATATAACTCGAATGACGTGGTCTATTGTTAAAAAATAAAAATAAAAAATAAAAAAGAGTGCCATTCCCTGGCTGCTTTTTCACTAACAGTTCTTTCCCTTCTTTTCCATGCTCTGTTCCTCATGCCAATTTACCGAACAACTCACTCATCCTCTTCAATTTATCAATTCATTACGATATCTATACGCAGATCTCATCATTTCCACACCACAATCTTCTTAAGTTGTTTTTTTTTTCAGTTTCTTTTTACTTCCTTTAACACGCTACTTTCAGACTTTAGTGCGTTGTTTGCTTTCACCGGAATTTTAATAGCAAATGTCTAAAATCTGTCAAACGGATCCCCAACCTGCGAAATCAGATGGTTTTCAGCTTGTATTTGAAGGATTTCCCATCGGACACAAATGGATTCTTTTCTAGTCTTCCACACGATTTTTGCTGCATTTTGGTCATTAATTTTTCCTGGTTTGAGCGGATGAGTTCTTCCACAGGCCAAGGCCAACACAAATAAGGTGTATTGTACCAAGTAGTCATTCTTAGGGAACTTGTCTCCTCCTTATTCTTATTAAATGGGAGAGGTTTGGACAACCTTCCTCAAATTTTGGAGGGGCAATACGTCCCCTGTTTTTTTTATGTGACGTTTGTTTGATGTATTCATTCTTGATTCTGAAGCATAATTCATGATTCTTTATAGTGTTCTTTTATCACAAAAAATACACATAAAATAATAATGATTTTAAATCATTATTCTGAATACATGAACCAAACGTACACTTAATCTTTGTCTCCAAGTTTCAATTCCCACCGTTACATCTCATACCTACTTTTTATCTAAGCCGTAGGATTCGATTTCTCCTAGTATCATAACTTCAAAACGCTAAATAATTCTCCATTTGTAATTAAATATTCATAAATGATGTTACTAAGTATTACTAAAATAACAAATAAAAAAAAGAAATTAGGAAAGTTCCTTCTCCTAACCTAATTAGACATTTCTTGTCATTTTCTCACACAGAATAATAATAAAAAAAAGAAAAAGAAATTAGGACCCACATATAAGTATTATTAAAATAAAAATAACAAAAAAAATAAATTGGGAGCTAACCTAATTTGACTTTCTCTTGTTATTTCAGATCGCGTTCACACAGCGCCGTCCCAAAACCCACCTTAACGCATAAAAACCAGACATAGTTCCTGATCGGCTTCATCTCTGGTAATTCTGATCACGTGCTTGCTCCTCTTTCTAATTTTCTTGTTTTCTACTCTTACGTTTTCTTCGTTTGTCGATTATGTTGTTGTAGTTTCATAATTGATAGATTACTTTTAACATGACCATGAATTCATTTGATATCTTAAGCCTCTTAAATTTTTAATTTAAATTAAAATATAATTTTATATAAGAACTTTTAAATCTCTCTTTTACTTCAGACCTATAAAGTAACATAGGGCGTTTACTTTGATACGAATTATATTTAAATCCCTTGTTCCGGTCGATCTCAGATCTATAATTTGTAACTAAGCCAGGGAAATCGCGGACGTTGAAGATAATTTCTTGGACTCACTCCATGCAATGGTACAAAGTTACTCATGTGCTAATTTATATTCCTGCTCATCTATTATCATTACTTTTCCTTTTTAACCAGTGTTGATGTCGTTTTTTTTAATTTCTTTTTCTTTTTCTTTTTCCTTCTTCTTTGATCCAAAAGAATATCGTTAAAGCTGCTGAAGACGCTATCAGGACTTTGGTACATAATTTATACTTTCTATATGCTGTACCTATTTTTGTTTATTGCAACTATATATGTTTCTATAATTTCCCATGTTTGTCCATATTACTTCACGCTATTTTTATATGTCTATTCTCTCTCTTTAATTAGCCATTGATGTTTGATACCTACTGTTCTCAACTTTACAGAAAGAAAATCCCACTCCACGGATGATTGAGATTTGGAAAAATATTCTAAGAGACCTCCATAATTTCGTAAGTAGTTCTCATTCATGCATAAACATATCTTTTTTTTTTTTTTTTTTTCACCTTAACTAAGAACTTCTTCCAACAGGCTATGCCTTAGTCAAAACAGTAGGTATTACTAAACTTTAAAGAAATAAGCTTAAACGAAGTAGATAACCTCTTTAGTAGGTGACAGTTTGGTCCCTATTCCTTTAATTTTTGCAAAATAATCCTCAACGTCATTAAATTGGCGCAATTACGTCCTTTTTGTTCAAATCCGTCAAATTTTAAACGGTTTTATCAGGTTATCTTCTTCCCAATGTGAGCAAACCGAGAAAAAGCACCGCCGACCGTCCCTTTCTACAAGCACTGCCGACAGTAGCTGCAGTTACCTTGCCCGATCCCTCTTCCTTTTTTCCCCCAACCCATCTTTGATATCTTTTTCTTCGACAATGGCGATCGAAACCATGGAGGGAGAATGCTATAATCCGGTATGAGTTAATGTTCTTCAATTTTTGAGAAATTCATAAGCTGGCTATTTTACCCTGATGAATTCCATAGAGATGAAATAAATATTATATTTAGCTTAAAAATGAATTCCATAGGGGCAAATCTGGTTTCAGATTTGTTCGATGCTGGGGGGGGAGGGATGTGACAACTCTTAACTTTCAGTCATCATTTCTACATTCATACTTAGCTCATTTCCTATCTTTTAGTACATTTTAATTATAACCTATTAAAAATGCTAAATTTTTTCTTTTCAATAGTAAAATTGATACTAATAATCGTTGGCGGAATAAAACTTCGTAAAGTGATTTTTACAAAACACGAATATAAAAAGTTACTATCCTAAAAACATTTTCAACTTTTCTTTTAAAACCTTGAACTTGTTCTCCTTAATCGTAGTCATGTATTTAACCTATAACTCATATACCATTTGTGATGACCCTTAACTTTCGGTCATCATTTCTATGTTCATACTTAGCTCATTTCCCATCTTTTAGTACATTTTAATTATAACCTCTTAAAAAGTCTGGCTAAATTTTTTCTTTTCAATAGTAAAATTGATACTAATAATCGTTGGTGGAATAAAACTTCATAAAGTGATTTTTACAAAACTCGAATATCAAAAATTACTATCCTAAAAACATTTTCAACTTTTCTTTTAAAACCTTGAACTTGTTCTCCTTAATCATAGTCATGTATTTAACGTATCACTCATATACCATTTGTGACAACCCTTAACTTTCGGTCATCATTTCTACGTTTATACTTAGCACTACTCATCTTCTACTACTTTCTAATTTCTACGTTCAGGCTAACTTTTTTTTTCAACAGTAGTAAAATTGATTCTAATACTCTTTGCGGAATAAATCTTCGTTCACTAATTTTTATAAAATTCGAACATCATTTGTGACGACCCTTAACTTTCGGTCATCACTGATTTTTTTTTTCTGAATTCCTTGTTGTTTTTGTATTATTTTTTCTGTTTTCATTTCTGTATTTGAAAAAAAAAAAAAAGAGAAGAAGAAGCTAGAAGAATGGTCTTTGTCAGCGCTACCGAAGATTGGTAGAGGATATGGGTTAAAATGAACTGTTTCTTTTTGTTGTTAATTTTTGTTGTCCTTTTCTTTTTCTTTTCATAAAATTGAAAGGAAAGGACAGCAAAAAGAAAAGGAAATGGCTACAATACCGTAGATTTCCAAAACTAGCTTCTTTTAGCTGAAATCTACGGTATGATCAAAATTAATTGCACTAATTTAATGACGTTGGTTACTATTTTTCAAAAATTAAACAAATAGAGACTAAACTGTCACTTTCTAAAGAAGTTAAGGACCATCCATGCCAATTACCCTTGCATTCTAGTCCATAAATCTTTTGTCGATTTCCAAAACTAGGGTAAGGTTCAAGTATATACAATAGTACATTTGAAAAGAGTCTTTTACCTCATCTAGAGGTTACAAAAGATTTTGTAAGCAAAATTCTTACTAAAAGTTTTCAACTAATTCACAAAACACTTGAAAAGTTGTACATGAACAAACTCTTCAAACGGGCTGCAACCAGCCAACTTGTATGTTGGGAAAATTTGCCTAAAACCTAAGAAAATAATAGAGAACAAAAAATAACGAATGAAAATAAAAGCACAAAATTACACCAAGGATTTTATACAGGTTTACCAATTTAGCTACATCCTGTGTATGCCATTGCAAATTTCACTAATTAGTTGAAGAAATTCGTTACAGAGAAAATCACTCAATCTCACTTTGTGTTTCTCTCACACGCAAAAGATGTTTCCTAGCCTCACACTCTCAATTTTCCTTTGAAAATTCGTAATACCGAATCCCCAGTCACTAGGTATTTATAGAGTACAAAAAAAGCTCCCAAAAAAACCCTTAAAAATCACCTAGAACCGACGTCCTCCAGATCAGGCCATTCTATGTGCGCCCAGCTACCCGCGCAATGCGCGCCTTCCCTGCGTGCCTTGTGCACCTTTGCGCATGTTGCTGCGCGCCAGCACAATGCTTTGGGCCAAAAATGGCTTTTGCACCTTTTTCTCCCTTCTTTTCGGCTTCTTTGTTACTTCTTAAATCAATCATTTGGGCCCAAGGATCAATTTATACTTATATTTTTATGTTTAATCAGCAGGAGGAAGAATGCACTACTTCTAGCTCAAAATTTTCATTCGATGAAAAACAATTGCGGATAGGCAAAAAATTAGTGGTTTCACTGTCGGCGAAAATTGGCCAAGGCAGCTATGGGACAGTTCTCCACTGGGGTTCTTATGAAGATAAAGTAGTCATTGTGAAACGCCTTCCCCAAAGTCATTTTAAACTGATTGACAAAGAAATCGAGAAACTCATAGCATCTAATCAAGACCAGAATATTGTAAGATATCATGGGGTGGAACGTGATAAGGATTTTATTTATCTTGCTCAGGAGCGCTGTGATTGTAATTTGGATGACCTCATCCAAATACATTCTTCGGGTTCCTCTCAATTTGAGCTTGTATCAAACGACATTTATTGTAGTACGAGCACTGTGACTCTGTATAAGGAAGACCGCTTGGAGCGATTAAGGAATATTTTGGGAGACGTTAAACTTTGCAAAGAAAATAATGGCCGTCCATCATCTTTATTATTGAAATTGATGAGGTTAGTGAAAAGTTCCTTTTAAATTATATATCACCAGAGGAGTTTTAAAACGTGTTATACAGAGCGAGGATAATTAGACTTTTAATGAATCGTCTTTTAGAAATTATTTGTCTTTGTGTTATTTGTCTTTTAGAAATTATCGTGCTAATTTCTATGTAATGGTGATCTTTTATTTTCATTTTATAATCTCACAGGGACATAGTATCTGGACTTGTTCATCTGCATGACTTGGGTGTAATTCACGGAGACTTAAAGCCCCAAAACATTTTAATAACTAAGCAAAAATCTACTTTATGTGCAAAGCTTTCTGATATGGGCATCAACAAATGCCTTCTTGAGAACATGACTTCCTCAGGTAACCTTTTTTTTTTTTTTTTTTTTTTTTTTTTTTTTTTTTTTTTTGTATTTTTCATGCCTTTCTCCGGTTATTTTTTTTTTTTTTTTTTTTTTTTTTTTTTTTTTTTTTGGCAAGTACTCTCATTACCCTATTTTAAACAACCTACACATATCAACAGACAATTAGAATGTTTGGATAACTTGATCAGTTTACATAAAAGATTAACAAAATTAGGGTAAGGGGGTGTTAACGTAAAATGTTTTGGTTAAAGGGGTGTCTCTATAATTTAAGAATTAAGGATGTCTGGGTAGTTCCCCTCTACTGTAATACCAGTTCAGCCCTAAGCATGTTAGTCTCATTATAAACATTTGTTCACATTATACTCCCATAAACAATTTTGCTTTGCCTAATTTTAGCCGCTTCTTACTCCCTTTAATGTTAGTCTGATGCACGTTTTTTGAAATCAAGAATAGGTTGCAACGCTACAGGCTGGAAAGCGCCTGAACAACTACTTTATGGGAGACAAACGAGTGCAATGGATTTGTTTAGCTTAGGTTGCGTCCTCTTTTTTTGCATCACTGGTGGTAGGCATCCATTTGGGGACCATGATGAACGAGACAGGAATATTAAGAGAAACAGAAAGCAAGACTTGTTTTTGATACAGGATTTCCCGGAAGCTTTCCATCTTATTTCTCATTTATTAGAACCTGATCATAAAAAGAGGTGAGATTATATAGCCTCCTTCAACATGGATTCTACATAATTTATACTACACATATGTTGCACTATTTTTATTACAAAAAAGTAAAGGTACAAATTATATATATTGTACATGATAGCTTTCGGTACGACTAATGAGTAAACATTAATCTGTTAGCAGCTTATTTATTCTTGTTCAACAAACTTAAATTATGTTGTGTTGTGACAAGTCCTTGTCGTTGTACTAAGTGGATTGGAGAATATCGACATTTCTTGATGAAAATTACTCAGCACCTAGCTTGAATCAACATTTCTTGATGAAAATTACACTTTTTATTCTTACCAGGCCAAAAGCAATTGAGGTTTTGAACCATCCACTCTTCTGGGATGCAGAGAAGAGGCTTTCTTTCCTGCATGACACTAGTGATAGAGTAGGTGAAAACTCTTACCTTCTTAAAGCGCTCGAACGTACAGCACACACAGCTTTAGGTACAAAATTGAAGGGGAAAGTGGTTCTAACATGGGATAACATGGTGGATGACAAGATAATTAGGCACATGAGCTCGTACTTAGAAAGGAATTATAAGTTTAGCAGTGTTCGAGACTTGCTGCGATTGATTCGAAACATGTTGACTCATTATGGACAACTTGATCAAGATATTCAGGTGATTGTAATACCAAATATATGAATCATGTGATACATCTTTACGCATGTTTTAAGTGTTTCAAGTTTGATATTTACTTAGTTTGGTGGTGACTAATTCAGATACTTATCGGATCACTATATGATGGATTTGAAGACTATTTTACAAGTCGATTCCCAATGCTCTTGATGGAAGTATACAAAGTTGTATGCACGTACTATGGAGAAGAGAAGTATTGCAGGAAATATTTCATGGGAATTTATAGCGGTGAAATGGATACTAGATTCTGAAGCAAGTACGGATATGGCCTGTTTGTTTTGTTTTTCTTTTGACTCAGGACCTGAATATTGAAACGAGTATTATACTATACTTGGAAAACTCTATAATTTTTTAAAATATTAAAAAATATTTTTAATACTTTTTTTTCTTCTCTTGAAATATTAAAAATTTCAGTTGCAAAAAGATACTTCTGTTGATTTCTTCTTTACAAGTTGATGTTCTGTACTAGCATGAGGGACCAACGGTATATATTTGTGTTTCTCATTGTATAAGTGTAGTCAAATTAATCCTCAATTGATTTACCATTTATTTACTAAAAGTTGGAAGCTGACTCTCAGTTATACACTGTACTATGAAACTTCATTAGTACGATTATATACCATATTATAAAGTTTCATTAATTCTGTCCATAATATCTCATCTTACATAATATCCCCATAAATTATCCATAATCGACTTGATCTTAAGATCAAGTTACATTTTACTTTTCTGATTATTTTATCTCAAAGTTCCATCATTCAACCATTAAAAAAAATCTTTATTTTATAACATACAAAAACTAAGGAATCATTTGGTTATTTATTTAACCAAACAATGATTCCTCTTCTGCTACTACTCCTACTGCTCCTACTATATTGTTATCACTGTTGCTGCTACTACTACTGCTACTATTATTGTTGTTTCTGTTGCTCGTTTAGCAATGAACTTTGGATTATTTCTCCTCTCTTTTTTTCCGCAGGAGTATTTTCTATCCCTCTTTTGGTGCCAAATGAGGAAGGATTCATGCTTTTAGGTGGGGGAAAAAACAAAAACCAAACGCCACAGAGGAGATTTTTACAATTACCCCTCAAAATCCCCCAAATATTAGCCATTTTATTTCTACCCCTTTTGATTAAATCCAATTAAAAGCCCAATATGTAGATTACTAAAATACCCTCAAAGGTATTTCCAAGATGTTGGTTCTCTGATCGCGGGCCGACGACGGCTCTCCTGTGGTCATTCGGCGTGTCTCCAGTGGCCGACGGCGGAACTTCAGCAGCCATCCAGCAGGATCTCCGGCGGCTTGCCGATCGTAGTCTATCAGATTATAACTTATAGTTTGACAAATTACACCGGAGCCAGCTATAGTCTGTGATACTATGATCCATAGTCTGACAGATTATAATGACTATGATCCATATTTAGATTGTAATCTATAGTCTGTCAGACGATAACAACATAACTGACTCCCTTGTCAACAAAGAAATACGGTCTGGTCCTACAAGCATATTGCTCTGAAAACTTTCTCATTATCTCAACAGACTTCTCTTACGGTTCCACTGCAAATATTAGACAACGCGGTGTTAACAACCTTAAATTTGCATTTATAGGACAGTATGTGGGTCAGCGAAACAACATGACAAACATTAGAATGAAAGTGGCACAAAAGATCACATATAATACCGCTCTTAAAGCCACTCTAGTCTACCATATACGAATTTATCCCTCCTTAAGCACATAGGGCTAATAAATCTACCAATTTTAGTCCCAAAAAATAAAACTGGTAATTTTACTCTGAAGTTTTCACTTCAATCCTGACAACCAAAAATTATATCCTTCTTCATCCAGCTTTCTAAATTCATGGCTATAAACAAGTAACCATAAGTCATACAAACCAATCCACTCCTAAACATATATATACATACGCACTTGTACATTATAACTATGAAATACACACACACACACACAAACAAAAATATGTTCATAAAGTTTACAAAAGCCATAAACAAACTAGATTACAGTCCAAACACAATCGAAGTCAAACTTCGAATAGAACTGAACAATTATTGAGGACCTTAAAACAATCAGAAAACTCATGATATTTTATCCATGTATTTATGGTCTAATTGCTTATACTTTTGATAAAAGATAGAGTGCTAAAACTTCTAATATTTTTATTTGTTTCAAGATGTTTTTGAGTTAAACAAATGACTGCATATATAATTAAAAAAATACTTATGACTCATATATGCAAATACGCAAAACCATAAGATAACTAGGATTTTGGTCATTGAAATCGGAAAAAGCTCACAAACTAGATGGATAAATTTAACTCCCGGGACGGCGTCATCGAATCCGAATGGCAAAAGCGAGTGCATTGAGCGGCGAGTCTCAGTCTTGTACTAGAAGATGTTCCGGCTCGGCTGAGTCATCGCGAAGCTTCTCTACTCCGGCATGACAGGAGCCACAACGCCGGCCTCAAGACTGTTAGGAACCTAGCTCAGAAAATCAACCAAACACTAATACCACACACACACCAAAAACAACAAGAAAATGAGAATAATCAGAGGAAATTTTATTAATCCAATCAGCTAAGAACACCAAATTACACTGAAATATAAAGGATAAAACGGAGAATTTGAGTACTCCGGGGACTCCTAATTTTGTGGTATTCGAGAGACCACCAGCTCTCCCTAATCTCAGTATCTCAGAACTCTCAAAATCACAACATCCCTCTAGTGAGCTACTAAGCCCTTTATTTATACTAATTCCTACTAACTCTATCAGCTCACTAACCAAACAAGTTCTCAAGTTAACAGATCCTAACAGAGACTGAAGAGTGCAGTCCGGAGGAGCCCGAACAACTGAGAATGGCATATATCGCGAGGAAGAGGGCTCTCCGAGAAGTCATCGGAGGGCGCTGTTTCAACTTTATCTCTCTATCTCTCAAGTCATGACTCAAGTCATATTCCTATAATGTTTTCTCTCATATAAATTCAAATTCAACTTTTTCACTACAATATTTTTCTCTCGCATGCACAACTCAAGTCATGATTTGAGTTGTGCAAATGAACTCACCCTCAAGTCATATCTGCTACGTAGCTCATGATATTAAGCATTACCAATTTGCTAACCTGGACAATCCAAAGTACATTTAACAGCAAAAGAAGGAAAAAAAAAACCTGAAATAAGGTCCAGTATCAAACATAATAGTAACTTGAAGTCTTAAATATATCATACAAAATAAGAAATACAGTAGAAATTATGTTCAATACAGTGTAGTAGACTAGTAGTGAACATCAACAACATTACAGGAACACAGTCCTGCTTAATAAGATTACAGCAACATCAAACATAACTCATTCTCAGCAATCCAAACATCAATCAAAAATTATTCTGAACAGCCTAACATCAGACAAAAATAAGTCTGAGCGATTAACATCAAACAGAAAACATAAAGGTCCAACATAGCATAATAGTCCCAACATCAAAACACAAAATAGAATACCCAAAACAGCTTAGTAAAGCAACATCATAATATAATCAAATCAAAATAGCTCAACGAAAACAGCAACAGCAAACCAACCCTCTGTATTATATACCTGATGAAAGAAAGAAACACAAGTTAGTATAAATACTAAGCGACAACACTGAATCAGAAAATAGTTAGTAATGGTTAATTACAGTTTTCATTTTCAGAATAAAAAAACACTTTATATTTTGAACAAGTTGCAATATTTGTATTCATTTTCAAAAAAAAAAAAAAAAGCTATATACTTCTTTTTTATATTTTTAGGACATACAGATTTCATTTTCCAACAAAAAACACTATCTTTTGGACATTCAGATTTCAATAAGTCGATAACACAAACAAAACAAAGAGTAACAGAAATACACAATAATCAAAATGTTCCAATGCACAGCACAACAGCACAATAAAAAAAACAAAAAAAACAAAAACGAAAACAAAATGTTCCAACGCACAACACAATAATAAAAATGTCAAAACATTCTAATCCTCATGCAGTCAGCAACACAGCAATACAGTAATCAAAAATAGGATAGGGATGTATAGAACTAATTGAAAACAAAAAAACCGAATATTGTAATTGAATCTTACCTGATAACCTAGATGAATACCAAACTTCAAGCATGTTCAAGAAGGACGTGATAAAGCTTCAAAAGTTTCCAAAGAAACATTACAAAAAACAAAAAAAAAAAAAGCAAAAAAAAAAAAAACAAAAGAAACAATTGGAATAATAAAGAAGGAGAAGATGTGAAGAGAGGTTTGACCTTTTGAAGCAATGTGGCTTTCGAGGCACAGCAGTGGAGAGGTACGACTGTGGGAGATGGAGAGGGCCAGCACTGAAGAAATGAGATTCAGAAGCCGGCGGCAGTGGAGACTTGAGAGGGAGAAGGAACTGGGCGGAGTGGGAACTAAGATTGAGAGGCTAGGATTTTTAGAAGAAAGGGAGAGGTCAGAGATGGAGGGTTTTCAGAAGAGTGGAAAATGAGAGGCTATTTTAGAAATTAACTTTTATTTTTTGTATTATTTTAGTCTCTAAACTTTAGACGCTTTTAATTTTGGTCCCTAATTTATATAAATTCAATCAAATCTTTAACACCTAGATAAAAAAAGGACAGAAATTAAATTGAAGTAAAATCTCAAAGACTAATTGTGGGACAAGTTAAGAACCAAAATGAGATTTAATATAAACTTTAAGGACCATTTATAGAATTAACCCTTTATACATACTACTTGTTTTTAGTTTGGGTCAGGTTAGGTTTAACGGGTTGGGAATCGGCCAACCCATTAACTCAGGCCTGGGCCTTGATAAGCGAAAACTAAAGAAAAAAAAGAAGCAAAGTGGTGGGTTGTCTTTTTGGTTAGGTTACGGAAACTTACATCGGTTTGTCAGGTTGAATGGTTTTCTGCATAGCCCTAATGACGCACTGAAACAGATAATTAATTCTTTGGTGGCACTGAAAAAGTAAGCTACCAAAAGGCTCTATTTTGAACCATTAGATACGTATCAAATATTATTTTTTTGTATACATTTTAAATATGATCAAATTTTAACAAAATCTAATAGTTAAAAACTGACCGTACTGGTATCTATTAAAAAGTCGTAAAAAAAAAGAGACTTAAAAAGACAATAGGGTTTTTCACAGTTTCTTTCCTCTCCCTCAATCTTTTCCTCCTCTAGCCGCTGCACTTTTGAACAAAACACCAGGCCACGGCTCGCCGTCCTCCTCACCGGCTCCGCCCTGTAGTTCCGTCATCACGACCAGCCGCCCGAGGCACATACAAAAAATCCCGTTTCTACTTTTTCTTTTTTGTTTTGTTTTTTTCCTATTTCCTATGTTACAAACACAAACGCACATAATGTCAGTACGGCTAATTTTTGAATTTTTTCAGCTAAATTTGCACAATAAAACCTATCTAGGTGTGTAAATTTCGATGGGCGAACCAATGTCGGACCGACTCAGTGCACTCCTGCCAACGGTACTCTTTCTTTTTTATATTTATTTTTTTTCTTATTTTGTTTTCTTTTTTTTAGCTGCATCATTGCCAATGTTCCTTCACGCTTTCAGAAACAAATTCCGAGATCCATGTAAGTGATGTGAGGCCCATTTGGGTGGGGCCCACCCACCCCCTGTTGGCTGTTGTTTGGATGATGATTTTGGAGTCTTCTTGTTTTATTTTTGTTTTTTGTTTTGTTTTTTTCCTATTTCCTATGTTACAAACACAAACACACATAATGTCAGATCCGTACTCCTCAGGTCGGGGTGCATTAATGGAGTGATCTAAAGTTTGGCGGGAAAATGACATTGTACTTCTGGTTATGTGGTTTTGTTTTTGTTTTTTTCCAGGCAGGCCAGGGATTTTTTTTTTTTTTTCGCTACCATTAATAGTTTTATTTCTATTTTGTAAATATTAATGAGAACAAAATTATTTTGAGAAAAAAAAAAAAACTTCTTTTTTGAGTTAGTGGTGGTGGTGATAGTTTGGGTTTAAAGGAAGCCCGAAGGTGACTGAGAAGGTTCTAAAGATAGCAAGTTTGAACTAATTCTTCTTATTTTGTACTAATGATATTCAATAAGTAAACTAATTCTTCTTATTTTGTACTAATGACATTGACAGTTCTGACTCTTTTTTTCTAACATTTGTTTTAATTGATCTATATTTCAATTTATCTATTTATATGCAAGAAATTTGTTATGTAAATCAGCATAGAGAAGAAAGTACTGCTTCTAGTTCAGAAGTTTCATCTAATGAGAACCAACTGCGGATAGGCGAAAAATTAGTGATTTTTTTAACAAAAGAAATTGGTAAAAGCAGCATGGGGACCGTTGTCTATGAGGGATCTTATGAAG